CGACTCAGCAGAAGTAAAGACACTTCCGTGTTCAAGAGAGAAGTAGTGCGTACGAAACACGTATGACGTGGTCACATAAGCTCCGCCCACTCATGTTTATTTATGATTACTGTGCACGTAAGACCATTGTAGATTTTAGGGCACCACGTGCTTTTGCAATAAAATACAGTACATTACATTAAAGACATACATTAAACACAAAAAGCACCCGGCCATTTGGCCTATGAGACACTAAAATCACAAGCATTATCACAGTAATACAATAAAATAAGAGAATACAAACACCATTACATACATTCCAGATTAATAACATGATATTTTAAACACACAAAGTTATAAAAGCACTTCACCATATTGACGTAAACGTGCACACTCACACGCAAACACGCAATTGTTGATTTACATTGGATATTTGTTAAGTGATTTCAGCAGAGGAGGTTGATGTACAGAGTGATTGATTGTGATTAGAGTTGATTTTATACAATTGATGAGTTTGACGTACAATGGGGTTATGATAAGTAAGTAGGCTGAAGTACACTGTGATTGCAAGCACAAAGGGGAGCGTGGACGCCAGATGGACAAAGGGGTTATCTCCCAATTGACAGACACCCATATGACAGACACCCAATTGACAGACACTGAACTAGAAGGTTAATTAGGGTAACACCTATGGGCATAATGGAACAGTCCACTGTCTTGTGAGTTAAGCAGGGTGAGCCTGAAACAGGTTCGTTACTGAGAAGTTTGATTGTGGGTAAATAGAACTTTGTTGTGATTAAATGATAAATGATTTCTCTTCTCAAAATTGATTTACTATCAATTACTGTCGAATATAAAACAGGTTTGTCACTGAGAGGTTTGATTGTGTTTATTGATAGAAAAGACCCCTCCCAATAATAGCATACGTACAACAGACGTTAACTGAGAAAACGTTTTGTTGGAGAGATATAGATATGTACATAATTGAAAACATTCTGATTTGCAGTAAATAAGACACCTGCATTGCCATGTAAGATACGATTAATACGAATCAGTGTTCTAACTTTAACAATACTTTCTAAAGATTGTAACAGTTATTGGACATTCAAGGAAGTAATGAAAAACATTCTCACAGCCATGGCCACAGTCACATGATGCGTCATATTTTAAATGTTTATTCTAAATAAATCGTGCACTCGTCATATATCTTAATATTGTGTGCAAAACATATAACTTCTTTATTCGATATTTAGGCTCACATTTGTCTTTATTTGATTTACATGATACAACAGTGTCGCAATTTGTAATAGCTAAGCTAATGCCGACTCCCCTTAGACTAGAAGGTTAGTGACCGAAATGTTTATGACAATACACTTTTTATGTATAGCAGCAATAAAAATTCAAATTCTTTTCGTCCATCTTTCAAAATAAATAATATACCCCGGTAGTTTCAGTTTGTACCTGTGTTTTTACTTGGACTATTCCATTATAATGTGTAGGTAACAGGTAGTAGATAATCTGTTCACTGAACCGTAAATGTTGTTGTTTTAAGGTGTCTGCGAACTGGCTGTCTGCGTAATGGGAGGACACCGACAAAGGAGGTATGGAAGGATTACTGGAGATGGTCTTTGATTAGGTGGTGATAGGCTGAGGAGATGAATTAACCTTGATCACGATCCATGGTGGGGTTGTGGCATTGGATGTTTATGGCATAGTCAGCTTCTTTATTGCAATGAGTGCGACGTTTAGATGTAGGTACTAACACCGTTATACATCCGACTTTAATAAGGTCATATATTCAACAAGTGAAAACACCAATATCATCACCATGATCAGTCACAAAAGTCAGTCACATCCATCATCATCAGAGGTGATAATTCAGTCACAGAACAATTAATGTAATTTCACTAAGTGTCCAACTGCATCTAGAAACTGCATCACAGGTTTTCGTCCAGTTGCAAGGTGTCGAGTTAGTCTCTCGGGCATCTCTTTCCTTGTCAATACGTGCACGGCGTTTCACAGCACCACCAACACCTGTATGTCGTCTAAACCTACACGGCGTTTCACAGCACCACCAACACCTGTATGTCGTCTAAACCTACACGGCGTCTCACAGCACCACCAACACCTGTATGTCGTCTAAACCTACACAGCGTCTCACAGCACCACCAACACCTGTTTGTCGTCTAAACCTACACAGCGTCTCACAACACCACCAACACCTGTTTGTCGTCGTAACCTACACAGCGTCTCACAGCACCACCAACACCTGTTTGTCGTCTATACCTACACGGCGTCTCACAGCACCACCAACACCTGTATGTCGTCTATACCTACACGGCGTCTCACAGCACCACCAACACCCGTATGTCGTCTATACCTACACAGCGTCTCACAGCACCACCAACACCTGTATGTCGTCTAAACCTACACAGCGTCTCACAGCACCACCAACACCCGTATGTCGTCTATACCTACACGGCGTCTCACAGCACCACCAACACCCGTATGTCGTCTAAACCTACACGGCGTTTCACAGCACCACCAACACCTGTCTATCGTCTAAACCGTTTATCTGCTGTCTGAATCTTCTTGATTCTTTTATGAACTGGCAAATGTTTGGATGTGATCGGGGTATTCTCTTCTACAGTCCATTGTGAAACGCCTTCAGGTGGTTGTTTGAGCGAGGTCCAGTGTTCTCGTGCTGGTTCCACATATTACAGGGAAATCTGGCGTCGTCTGTATCGGTATCCAGTATGAAGCACTTGTTGATCGCCTCTATGTGAAGTAACGAACTCAGCTCTCCGAAGATTTGCCATTTTGACGCTGAGTGTGAAACTTGCAGAGGTTTATATACGACATTGCGAAAAAGAATAAGATGAGATAAGCAGGTCTTGCTAACACAACAGCCTTAGGTGATCAAAGTAGAAGACGAGTAAGTCATGTTTATGCTACAAAAACATATGTATGTTTGATCAAAGTATCCCAATTATTATGGTGAGTACGTTTATACGATGAAAACATGTTTGGTTGATCAAATTATACTAATGTAAGTAGATGAGTAAGTCATGTCACACAGACAATGTACAAGATCTATTTGTTTAATGTTAACAGCCAGTTGGGTAATACCCATTATTATGATAGAAGTGGTAAAACTGGCCATTATAATTATTGTAGGCGATATGAGGTGTAGGCGATATGAGGGCAAGCCGTTTGCCCAACGACTATAGTGGTCCAGCGCTGCCGCTCGTGACACCATTATAGTGTCTTGCATTATTTGACGAATTTTACAATCACATTGATCACGATTTCGTAAAACAAAAGAGAATAAATAAAGAATCACACCAAACAAACAAAAAAACACAACAAAAAACAAAAGCAGAAACAAAACAAAAAGAAAGGAAAAAGTCACATCCTCCCCCTCCCCCCCCCCTTTTCTAAATGCATATAAAACATACAGCTTGATCCCCAAATAATACTACCTTAAAATAGAATATACCCTACATTTTTAATAGTATAAATAATAACGTATAATGTTCAAGTGTTAGGGACCGTTCATAGTTTATGACTAGGAGGCGTGATGATGATACATATGTGGAGGGTGATACCTTGGTGTGTCTTGACAACTCGGTTGTTGTGTGACACTGTTACACGATCGATTAGTACTTACATAAATTAAGTCCACATCATCGTAATTATGACTTTTCAGTTACCCGAGTACATTAAAATAACCGTGTACACAATATTAATACCCGTCCTAAGTGACCAATCGTCTGGTGACGTATATGTTTATGCCCATGCATGACGTCGTCTCTGCTAGATGTGGCCATGATGGATGGCGATGTTGATAGATGACGGCAATACAACCCCCAGTCTTGACCTTGTTCCGTATCTATAACACTTCTCCAAGAAATTGTCTCGACTGACTGCCTCTCTGTGTTGATGTGGACTCACAGTCCCTGAATCCTATGTTTTCCCTTTCCGTGTAGCCTGTACTGCAAAGACTGTGTGTTAGCCTGATGTTTTTAGTATCACACTGGTCTAACGTGGCCAGGCTGTATTATACCAACCTCAGGAAGGCCTGTTTCATATATTTCATTACTAGAATTATGTTTCAGTTTAATGCCACCCTTCCCCCCAATAAACACCCAAAAAACAAAAACGAAGCAAAACAAAACAAAACAAAACACACAACCCCAAACAAAAACAAACCAACCCAACATAACAAAAAAACAAAACAAAAAACCAACAAAAAAACCCAACAAACACAAAACATAACAAAGGACAACAACAACAAAAACAACACTTACTGGAACAAGTACCATTATAATCTTACAGAAAACATTATTGGTACAATTGCCGGTATTTGATAGTACAATAGGCAACAAAAGGCATAGCCCCAGATGTGTGTATTTATAAAAATATATATCAATGTCAATATTATTACAATTTTCTTTTCAGTTCATCAGGTAGTTCTTTAAATGAACAGAATTACTTCTCATTATCAGCAACTTTGTTGGTTCACTTTTGCCATGGTTACACATTTATAATTATCAACCATTCTAAACATTTGATAAATGCACTTTGTCAATAGGTTTTGTTGGCATAAATTATGTTAACAATATGTGGAGGGAGTTTTATGAGTTTCTCGGAATTGTCCTTTCTGCGACTGAGCCTAAGTCTAAGCGGTCTGATAAATGTGCTAATGTTTAGGAGCTGTATGCTGTTTCTGTGATTTATAGCGTCAACGTATGTTTACTAAAATACTGCGCGTTCTGTGTTCTGAGAAGTCAAAGGTTACAGGTACGACAAGAAACGGGATTTCTGAGAATTCGTCACGAGTAAACTGATCACCAAATATAGCTTTCGCGGGACCAGCCAATGAAAAAAGGGTAACTATTGTAAACCAATGAGAAAAAATGGCTTCCAAGGAGCAGACGACAGTTCAGGTTGGAATATCCGGTTCGAGTATTGTATATAATGGGGGCTGGTGTTGGAGAAAATCATTCCGTCCCTTCCATTGCTTGATTGACTAACACAGTTGGGAAACTTCAAGAAGATGGACGCCAAGCTTTTGCTCCTGTTTGTGTCGTCTGCTGTACTTGCCTTGTCATCGGGTGTCAGCGTTCTCTCAACAAAAACTCCTGATGTCGTCACCTCTGACACAAACGTCGTCGCCCCTGCATATTATGATGGAATCGACCTGAACACTTTGTCGGAGGATGAACTTAACGCCCTCGTTGACGCAAAAGACGAAATATTGGAAGGAGAGCTAGGTGAGTTCAAAAGTATTTTCCTGACAACTTAATTATTTGCACCTTATATCACCAGGTTTTATGCTAATTTGTAGCGTACAATCGTTAGCCGAAGAGACGCTCATATTTATATTCAACGTGTGTTTATTACCTCAACAAGCAATAGTCCTCCTTTGAAGAATTTGTTTTTTTATTTACATCATATCATTGATTTTTTGTGTATCATCTCCCAAATACAAATATATTGGTTATTACAATCTGAAAATGGACATGTAATATAAACTGGATGATGGATAATGTAGAATGAGAGAGAGAAACGTGAAACTTGAATAAATTTCACACTTTAATGGGACTGGATTCAGATTTATTTTGTTCTATTCAGTATCCCATCATCTATCATCCCTAGTGTATTAGATTATATGAGCAAATTTGTTTGTGTCCAGTGTGTTTGAGCTGTGGGATTTTACGTGCGCTCATCTAGATTCAGTTCACAGTGAGACTTAGCTCCGCTCGAGTGGACATGCACTGTTTGAGGAAGACAGTTCCTAGTTTGTATATTACATACCATTACTAGTATGTTTATGTGTTTGAAATATCATGTTGCCATTTCAGATATCACGGGCTACCTCAATGCCGTTGCCAACAAACCCCGCCTCTACAAGCGATGGGTTCCCCTGGCGCGTGCTGCCTTCAGCGTAGGACGTTCTCTGTTCCGCAGCTTCTCACGGGGTCGAGTCTCACGGAGCGGGTCCAGACTCACCCGCCAGTACAATCGTCAAGGTGAGGGAAATACCTGTATCAGTATTACATCATCAATGACCACGTACTGGATATGTTACTTTTGTGTTAAGGTGCTAACACTGTGATTTGGGAATGCAATTATATGTAGGGTGTTGACGCAATAGTCAATACTGTATAACAACAGCTGAACACAGTAGAAACCAACCCAGTTGTCAGTAAGAGTAGAGTGGGACTTGACTTAGTGTCGATCATGTGTAATGTTTACGTTTGCTTAACGTCGCTGTCATCAATCATCATTCAGTCTTATACATTTTTAATAAGTTTTATTTTGATGTTTTCAGGGAACTATGGTGATGCTGTTCGGGACTTCAACCGACTTAACCCTAACGGTGCTCGTCCCATCTCTGGAAACAACAACCTGCAGGGCATCACAGGGACCATGGGCCGACACCGTGTTACTGTGCGCAACACCAGCAGCAATGGAAGACCCACTCTGGAAATCCGCTCCCCCAACTCAAACGGCGGCTCTACTGTCCGGAAGTTCAGATACAACGATTAGATAAATATGGTCGAGTTGGCATTTGCTAATTCAAGTCAAGAAATAAATCTAGTCAACAGGAGCCTTTAAGATTCGAACACACAGTCATTTTGAAGAAATGTTACTTTTTATATTTTACTATTTTGCTACATATTTTATTTTCATTTTTTAAACACATTTTTGAAACCTTTAATAATTCATTATCGGTTTCTGTCAGTGGATATGGGAGTGTAAATGATCGTTAAAGATGAACGAATGTTACCCAGATTTGTGAGTCATGAGTAAGGAAGGGTGCAATGAACGGGTGATTGTACTGCAACGAGTTCCTCTGTCAGTGTATATGTGGATTTGCTAATAAAAAGTGAATTGTATTGAATGCCTTCAGTTTTTGCTTTCCTTAATATTGTTAAAAGCTTCCTTAATTGGTTGGTTTGTTAAACGCCGCACTCAGCAATATTCCAGCTATATGGCGTCGGTCTATAAATAATAGTTTGGACCAGACAATCCTGTGATCAACAGCTTGAGCATCGATCTACGCAAATGGGATACGATGACCGGTGTCAAACAAGTCGGCGAGCCTGACCACCCAATCCCGTTAGTCACCTCTTACGACAAGCATGGGTCGCTGAAGGCCAATTCTAACCCGGATCTTCACGGGTTGTTAAAAGCAGTATTGACACCAGTCAATTGATGTTAGAAAGGTCTGTGGTTCGAACATAGAACACAACAACATGTATTCAGATCTTCCGAGAAAGTGTCATATTATGGACCTATAACCTACTAATAACATTCAGTTGAAGAGACATCGTAAGAAATTAGACAAACAATAAATATAATATTTTCGTCATGATAAGAAATTCGCTGCGGAGAAAGGATGCTTGTATCACAGCGACCAGCACAACATCATAGAAACAATCATTACTTTGTTGAGAATTAAACGACACAGTTCAATCTACTAATGCTTGTCAGTATAAGACGAAAGAAGAAAAGTGTGTTATTATTGTGTTAAACTTTGCATTTACAGTGTATACAATCATGGTATTGTCATAGGTAAAATAGCAAAGACAACTTTCAAAAAGCTTACGAGACACAAATGTAATTAAAGATATCATCATAATAATGTATACACGTGTATTCACACAAACACATTGAGTTGAAACATAAACAACAATAGGAACTCAGCAATACATAAATTATGTCCTAACGGGCAGGAGAGTAGCATGGTATATAGAGCACTAGTTGTGACTAGCGACAGTGGGGAACGCTCAGTGACCAGTACACATTGTAATATATTGATAGGTTCTATAGACAGTGAAGGTGGTTCGATTTCTTATTTTTTGTTGTTGAAAATGACCTATCTTAGGTTGGAGTAACAAAATTAATAAAAAATTGTATCTACATCCTATAAGCTGCATTGCTGTCATTTATGATTCCCTAACGGGGTTACCGGGCGGATATTACAGCCTAATTCAAATTCAAGCGGAGGTGACCCACATTGAAATTTAGCTGATATACACGAGTACCAGTACGTATTATATAACTACTGGTTAGATAAAGAATTTTTGAAGGAAAACACCCCCGAGCGTATTTCTGTCATGTTTACCTCAATCATTCTAAAAACCATGGCACCAATTTGTACAATCACGTTTTGACAGATCCTTCATGCAGTTAAAACAGTAATCAAGGGATCCATGAGATATATGTGAACACGAATGCGAATTGATCCATGTAATATGGATAGCAGTAGAACAATTATTAAATAACAAGAAATATGAAGAATAATTAGTAAGATTGACAGAAATTATGGTTCATGTAGATTAGTCGTCCTTTCGGAACTCAGGAATGACACCATACGCACCTGCCACTGTGTGCGGCAAGAGCAAACTATTGGATGTATGGCGATTTGCAGACATAAACGTTAAAAAATGAGTGCAAAACTCATCTGTGTTGTAATTCTTGGTAAGATCATAGTTCATGATCCTCCATGTAGTAAAGAGTAAATGTGCGCGTGTGTGTGCGTGCGCGCGCGTCTGTGTATTGTTACGGGTACATACCTATATGTATGTATGTACGTACGTACGTATGTATGTATGTATGTATGTATGTATGTATGTATGTATGTATGTATGTATGTATGTATGTATGTATGTATGTATGTATGTATGTATGTATGTATGTTTGTGTGTGTATGTATTTGTGTGTGTGCGTGCGCGCGTGTTTCTGTGTCTCTGTGTGAGGTATGTCTTTTTCCGTGTTTGTGTGTGTGTGTGTGTGTGTGTGTGTGTGTGTGTGTGTGTGTGTGTGTGTGTGTGTGTGTTTGTTTCCGTGGTACCATAATGGGACACGGTGAATAAATGTATGAATGTGACGACATACGTTCGTTATTCTTTATGTAGAGAAATTTACATTTGATAAAACCACATATTTACATGATCCTGAGGAGAAATAAGTCACTGTCTATAGATAAAGCCAGCGAAAGTGTGTGGTGGTTGTCATTTAAGCACATAACAGTTTTACATGCAGCCCCTCAATCACAATTCTTTAAACCAAAACAAGCACAACATCAATAAACTTCAAAGTGCACCTTCGATTGTCTAATGTCTGAAATCGTAAGACTTGGTTACAGAGTCTTACATGTGAGTGTGTGACAACATACGCAACTGGACATGTGAAGGAGAGTCGCTGTGTTGTAGTGAGTTAGTTCCATACACATATCACTTCAGTGTGAAGTTTGCACAGCTGATGCATTTAAATAGCTAAACTATGATTGTCTAACTTCTCGTCAGTATATACACACATGTTCTCTTGATGCTGTAAACAGCTGACATAACGCTTGGTGATTATTGGGACATTGTGGTCAGCTGACCAGGTGAAAGGATGTACGTAACCAAGTAACCAATGGGCATGTGTGACATGTGATTCACTTACTATGAAACTTGTAAACAGAGCAATTTGCATACTGAAGCGCTCGTCATCCTTTTGATGCTCATCTTTTCCCTCACAAGCAATACACTGATTCTGTTTCAACAAAGAGCTGATAAGACTCTCCGCTCTAATAATGTATCATGTGGATTATAGTGTAGTATTCCAAATTCCGAGAATGCATTTTTCCAGACATTAAAGTTAGTATACAGTCCCAACGGTCTGTTTAAAGAGCTGCTATTCTAAACTTTAACATTAGAGATGAAATCACTTTCATGTGAGAATCGTAATCGTTTTAAATTAGGATTTACGACATAGCGGAACCTTGTATAGTACTTTGATCTGAGGGTTGCAAGTTAGGAAACTGCCGACCGAACGAAAGCACACACTTAAAAATTGGATTTGAAATTGCAATCCCCATGCATGTTTCCCGAGACGTCATAGACACGTCGCCCGTTGTGAGATACTCTTTGATACGATGCATGAAGTATCTTATGCACGTACGAAATACATCACTAATGAATAACCAAGTCATGTTTGGTTCAGGTTTAGACTCTAACAAACAGGGGTGCATATAAAGGCAAGAATTTATGGATGTCAGCTTCTTTATTTTGATGGACACGACGTTTCGTTGAGTAAGAGGTGTATATGTTCTCTTTCAATGCAGTACATTTAGAGGTGTTGTCTTACACATAGCAGAGACTGGGTACACGCAGGACATACAACTGATGTTATACTGTTCATTCACATATTTCGTGTTACTATGTCCTTCTGTGCCGTGTTAGGATTGGATTTCGAGTCTCAGTATCTATGGGATTGTGATATAGTGTTAGTTGTTTTCACCGTTGTAAATGTGAATTGAAAATGTAAAAAACGTCACTTTGAGATTGCGTCCAGACAAGGCTTCCTTTATATGAAACACAGATTCATAAGCTGTAGGAGCACAACTAGACTTGCTCAAGCCTCTAAGGTAATAATTAATGGTTTAAATGATAATTTCTAAAAAATATATATAAATAACAGACTGGGGTCCTGTCCCCTTATCTTGACTTGCCTCTTTAAAGGATAAAAATTACTATACATGCCTCTTTAAAGGATAGAACTACTATACATGCCTCTTTAAAGGATAGAACTACCATGCATGCCTCTTTAAAGGGTAGAACTACCATACATGCCTCTTTAAAGGGTAGAACTACTATACATGCCTCTTTAAAGGGTAGAACTACTATACATGCCTCTTTAAAGGGTAGAACTACTATACATGCCTCTTTAAAGGATAGAGCTACCATGCATGCCTCTTTAAAGGGTAGAACTACCATACATGCCTCTTTAAAGGGTAGAACTACCATACATGCCTCTTTAAAGGATAGAACTACTATACATGCCTCTTTAAAGGATAGAACTACCATGCATGCCTCTTTAAAGGGTAGAACTACTATACATGCCTCTTTAAAGGGTAGAACTACTATACATGCCTCTTTAAAGGATAGAACTACTATACATGCCTCTTTAAAGGGTAGAACTACTATACATGCCTCTTTAAAGGGTAGAACTACTATACATGCCTCTTTAAAGGGTAGAACTACTATACATGCCTCTTTAAAGGGTAGAACTACTATACATGCCTCTTTAAAGGATAGAACTACTATGCATCCTTCTTTAAAGGGTAGAACTACTATACATGCCTCTTTAAAGGATAGAACTACTATACATGCCTCTTTAAAGGGTAGAACTACTATACATGCCTCTTTAAAGGGTAGAACTACTATACATGCCTCTTTAAAGGGTAGAACTACCATACATGCCTCTTTAAAGGGTAGAACTACTATACATGCCTCTTTAAAGGGTAGAACTACTATACATGCCTCTTTAAAGGGTAGAACTACTATACATGCATTGGCTTAGCACTCAGTACAGCCTTGGAGCAAGGCTAGAGCACAACCCAAGCTGACATTTATTAAGATTTATGGCCGAATAGAGCAATCAAGAAAGAAAGTATTGCGGAAAACTTTGGTGTGAGGCTATTCCTGGTATGGGGAAGCAGGATGTTGTTTATTCCTGAGAAATATGTATTACGCATAAACACTGACACACTAGTGCAGTTATATGGCGCTGCTACCTGACTATTCATTTTCATGTATTCCACGTCTTTGTATTCACCTTGCATACAGATGTTCACTGCAACTTCCTATAACAGTCAAACTGCCGTCATGTCACATTACCGAGGAACACAAATGCTGTCCATTGCTGCTTTCACTTCCTTCACGAACTGTAGAACACCATAGGAAGTATACTCAAAGTAAAAATTACGCATCATCTTATTTATCATATTGTGACTTTTACGAGGCACATAAGTCAAGAGTTTGAGCGCCTGGATGCACTTTGATTAGTACCCTATGTATATGAATCCATGATCTGCCTTGACAACTGAGCCGTTCAATTTATATTATGTCCCTATCATCATGATAATGAAATGTCAGTTATCGTAGTATTCTGATAGCAACATATAAAGTGCGTGCTGTGGATAACGCACTCTTCCCCACCTGAAGTGTACAAGCGTCCAGTCACTTATGTGTTGATGCCTATGCATGACGTCTTCTGTGTTGACTGTGACGATGATGGATGGTGATACCGGTAGATGCCGGTCATACTAACCCCAGGCTATTCCGTGTTCCGTATCTTTAACACTTCTCCAAGAAGCTTGTCTTCACTGACAGACAGAGTGCGTCATTTCTGTGCGGATGTGATCTCCAACCTGAACCTGTTACCGCATGTATACGTTCAGGGTCAGGTTCTAAACCTCCAGTTTCCAAATTATACGTATCAATCTTATACATTTTCACAGGCTAAGCGACAATAGAGATGCACATGTACCCCGTTGTTCTGGTTTCGTGAAAACCAAGCAGCTAATTCCCACTTCCATGTATGAGAATATGACCTTGTCTTGAAGTGGACTATACCAACATTACGAACACCCAATTCATATTTTAAAACCATGATTAGGTCTACTTTTATTCGCAGAATAAAGAAAATATAATTCTAAGTCTGTTATGAAATTATTTAACCCTCACCAATAACAACAGTTTAAATCATCATGCAGTAATTGTCCTTCTTCCATATCTTCATAAACATATACTTTTTATTACAGTCATCATTGCGGACAATTTCTCAGTAGTTCACATATATTTATATAATTGAAAAGAACTATCGCAATGAATGAAACATATTAAGTTAATATTTCTCCTCATTAATAATTACATGTCACTTAACACTTTGGACAAATTTCATATTTACGACCACAATAAGGAAATTTCTTGCCTGCACATTGAATACATCTTTAATGAAGTAAATACACATGGTCAATAATGTGTACATGCTTGGTGTACGTTTTATAAACTTTTCTTTTCACGTCAAACAGCAACGTTCTTGATAAATGTAGAAGTATTGTAGGAGCTAAAGTGCTGTCATGTTTTTATGTCAGACGATTCACCGGGTCAATGTATGTTTACTAATCACTCACGTTCCGTGTTTTGTTTCTGAGAAGTCAAAGGTTGCAGCTTCAGCAAGAGATGGGGATTTCCGAGAATTCGTCATAAGTTAACAGATTACCCATTCTCGCTGCCGACTTGACCAGCCAATCAAAAGAGGGTAACTATTTTAAACCAATGAGAAGAAATGGCTTCCAAAGAGCAGACGACAGTTCAGGCTGGAACATCCGGTTCGCGTATTGTATATAATGGGGGTCGGTGTCTTTGGAAATCATTCCGTCCCAACCATTGCTAGAGTGACAGAAATAATTGGGAAACTGCAAGAAGATGGACGCCAAGCTTTTGCTCCTGTTTGTGTCGTCTGCTGTACTTGCCTTGTCGTCGGGTGTCAGCGTTCTCTCAACAAAAGCTCCTGAGGTCGTCACCTCTGACACAAACGTCGTCACCCCTGCATATTATGATGGAATCGACCTGAACACTTTGTCGGAAGATGAACTTAACGCCCTCGTTGACGCAAAAGACGAAATATTGGAAGGAGAGCTAGGTGAGTTCAAAAGTATTTTCCTGACAACTTAATTATTTGCACCTTATAGTTAATTTGTAGCGTTTAATCGTTAGCCGAAGAGACGCTAATATTTATATTCAACGTGGATTTATTATCTCAACAAGCAATAGTCCTCCTTTGAAGAATTTGTTTTTTTATTTACATCATATCATTGATTTTTTGTGTATCATCTCCCAAATACAAATATATTGGTTATTACAATCTGAAAATGGACATGTAATATGAACTGGATAATGTAGAATGAGAGAGAGAAACGAAATTTTGGAAGGAGAGCTAGGTGAGTCCCAGTGTATATTCATGACAACTAATGAAACTGCACGATATGTTATCGCTTTGTTATATGCTAACGCAATAATTGAGAATATTGTACCGAAAATTTCGATCGTTAATTGCAGTGCATATAGTTACAGGTAGCCGTACATGGGAGTATTAAATGCACATCGTCATACGTATCGCGATAAGGTCATATCATAATGAGGGTGAGTGAGTCGGGTTTTACGCCGCTTCTTAGCAGTGTTCCAGCAACATCTCTGCGGGGGACACCACAAATGGGCTTCTCACAATGTACGCATGTGGGGAATCGAACTCTGGCCTTCGGCGTGACGAGCGAACGCTTTAACCACTAGGCTATAAAAAATGAAATTAACCGCATAAGTATTTGGGCATCACTGCAGTAATCGGTTAGTTGAACCTGGACGAGAGGTTTTTATTATAATATCAGCAGATTTGAGTGAGTTTGTTTCACATGTCTATTTCTCATCAGCCTTCTGTGGCATTGTTAAGGATTACATTTCATTATCTTTTAGTTTCAAGAAGAAAAATCAGATCTGCTAACAGTTTACAATATCTATTTAGGTGCAGGTAAAGCAGCAACTTGAATAGAAACTATTTAACAGTATATGGTATTGGCGACAGAAATTTACACAAATTTATCGCGTGTCTCCTGAGAATATACAGGAATAAAGTGCGTTCATATTGTTCATATGCTAGCTATTTATCATGGGAAGAAGCGTTAAGTGCCTTTTCGGTTGTCTTCGTTTGTTATCTTTACTTTCCTTCGAGAAAGCGACTGCCTGACACGCAGGGCTCCAATATAAGAATGTTCAGAAAGTGCGCAAGTTTTGATTTGAATTAGAACCACTTTATCACACAAGCAATATTACTATATACCTTGTCGTTATTATGCTTCCTCAAGCCTTAACAGGAATCGGAAATGACGAGGAGGCTGATGAATTACTTGTCCATTTTAAATATCTCCACTTTTTGTTTTGTGATGATCACAACTCAAGGGAACAGGCTGAGCAAATTTGTTTGTGTCCAGTGTATTTGAGCTGTGGGATTTTACGTACGCTCATCTAGATTCAGTTCACAGTGAGACTTAGCTCAGCTCGAGTGGACATGCACTGTTTGAGGAAGACAGTTCCTAGTTTGTATATTACATACCATTACTAGTATGTTTATGTGTTTGAAATATCATGTTGCCATTTCAGATATCACGGGCTACCTCAATGCCGTTGCCAACAAACCCCGCCTCTACAAGCGATGGGTGCCCCTGGCGCGTGCTGCCTTCAGCGTAGGACGTTCTCTGTTCCGCAGCTTCTCACGGGGTCGAGTCTCACGGAGCGGGTCCAGACTCACCCGCCAGTACAATCGTCAAGGTGAGGGAAATACCTGTATCAGTATTACATCATATATGACCACGTACTGGATATGTTACTTTTGTGTTAAGGTACTAACACTGTGATTTGGGAGTACATGTACGGATCTTTTTGGCGATACTCATCACTATATATATTTAAAGAGCTTCCTTGAAATGTTACATGTGTGGCTTTGTGTTTAACACGCTCATGCTGGTATCTAAACATATAACGTGTTGGTGTAATGTCATGTTAGCTGTCACCAGGAACGTAGGGCTGGAATCTAAACATATAACGTGTTGGTGTAATGTCATGTTAGTTGTCAGTAGGAACGTAGGGCTGGAATCTAAACATATAACGTGTTGGTGTAATGTCATGTTAGCTGTCACCAGGAACGTAGGGCTGGAATCTAAACATATAACGTGTTGGTGTAATGTCATGTTAGTTGTCAGTAGGAACGTAGGGCTGGAATCTAAACATATAACGTGTTGGTGTAATGTCATGTTAGTTGTCAGTAGGAACGTAGGGCTGGAATCTAAACATATAACGTGTTGGTGTAATGTCATGTTAGCTGTCACCAGGAACGTAGGGCTGGAATCTAAACATATAACGTGTTGGTGTAATGTCATGTTAGCTGTCAGTAGGAACGTAGGGCTGGTATCTAAACATATAACGTGTTGGTGTAATGTCATGTTAGTTGTCAGTAGGAACGTAGGGCTGGAATCTAAACATATAACGTGTTGGTGTAATGTCATGTTAGCTGTCAGTAGGAACGTAGGGCTGGAATCTAAACATATAACGTGTTGGTGTAATGTCATGTTAGCTGTCACCAGGAACGTAGGGCTGGAATCTAAACATATAACGTGTTGGTGTAATGTCATGTTAGCTGTCAGTAGGAACGTAGGGTTGGAATCTAAACATATAACGTGTTGGTGTAATGTCATGTTAGCTGTCACCAGGAACGTAGGGCTGGAATCTAAACATATAACGTGTTGGTGTAATGTCATGTTAGTTGGACACGACAAACTGGTGGTTGATATGAACTAAGAACTATCTATTTTAAGAATTATTACACCACTAGACCAACGTACTATAAATTCTTTTTATTAATGTAAACAAAAAATGTTAACGAAATGAAAATGCTAGCAAAATATTGTTTTCAAGCTTTTAAAGCCCGTCAATAATTCCTTTCTGTTTGTCAGTACATCCTCGCCAAGCCTCCTGTACTTAATTTCATAATGTATATGTAAATGGCCAGGGGCCAACATGGCCTGTGCTAATAAAAGTATCTGTCTGTCTGTCTGTCTATGATGAGTCACCTCACACACAGACGTTTGATCATGTTGGTATTGAGGACAATAGCAACAGAAGTATGCTCATTAAGATTTATCAGCATGACAGGTTGAGAATTAAGTTCATATGTATCTATCAAAACTGGTTCAGTGTTTGCTAAAAATATGCCAAACCAAATACGGGGCGATGGGGTAGCCTCGTGGTTAAAGCGTTGGCCCTTTGATTCCCAACATGGGTACAATGTGTGAAGCCAATTTCTGGTGTCCCCGCCGTGATATTGCTGGAATATTGCTAAAAGCGGCGTAAAACTATACTCACTCACTCATACCAAACACTTTCTTCAGGTATACACATATATCTCAGTCATGAATTGCCTTCAGGTTTGACAGGAATATTGTGATATTTGTAAGTCTTAAACACCCAAATCATGAACATTTCAACTCGGTAATCAATACATTTTCAATAAGTTTTATTTTGATGTTTTCAGGGAACTATGGTGATGCTGTTCGGGACTTCAACCGACTTAACCCTAACGGTGCTCGTCCCATCTCTGGAAACAACAACCTGCAGGGCATCACAGGGACCATGGGCCGACACCGTGTTACTGTGCGCAACACCAGCAGCAATGGAAGACCCACTCTGGAAATCCGCTCCCCCAACTCAAACGGCGGCTCTACCGTCCGGAAGTTCAGATACAACGAATAAATATATGGTCGAGTTGGCATTTACTAATTCTTTTGCTAATTTAGGTTCGAAAGCTTTAAGTTTCGAAAAATTACCTTATTCTGAAGAGACCTCTATTTTTTATATATTATTGTTAATTACAACTGTAAAGGAAACTTTTAAACTGAAACCATCAACGGTTCACTATCAGTTTTCTATCCACATGGCATTGTAAATGAAAACTATTGTTAGGTTGGACGAATATTACATATCTTACGTTCATGTGTCATATGTAAGAGAGGGTTGAATGAACGGGTGACTGGGCTGTAACGAGTTCTTACATCAGTGTACATGTGTGTTTTTTCCTAGTAAAAAATGAATGACCCTTATTGTCTTCTCATTATTTCAATATTGATGCCATGATGACGGAGTTTGTAGTCTGTCGTTCGATTCCCTGTCGTGTCATACGAAGGTCATTTATATATGGTAATTGTTATTACCCTTCCTTGGGCTCAGCATGTAGGTTTACATAACGAACAGTGGGCGGTACAGATTCAGTAATCTTTGTGTGAGTGAGGTAACAATGTAAAGTGCAGCATGGTATCTGAATGGGCTAGTACTGTTCACCCGACAAGGTCCGGACCAGTACAAGTAGTCGTTGTAATTCCCCAATCCTCATTTATTGTGATCAAAGAACTTTCGGTAAATGTGCAAAATAAAAAACGAAATAATGGCAAAAGTAAATCAGTTACTTGTGATATCTGTGTTGTTTTGGCTTTGAAACAAATTGATAAACGCTTTTTATGAGTGCTAGACAAAAAGGTAAACTTGCCCTTTATCAGATTGGTGTTTTTCGTTATCAAGTTAACTTTCATCTTATTTGATACAACCAACCAAAGGCGATGTTTATGCTTGCATGCATGTAAAGACCCAACATTTTTCGCAATAGAACCGAAATATAATACACCAAAGTGGCATCTGTCGTATATCAGAAGTTGGTTATTAAAATTCAAATGCATAGTAATGTTATCAAATGTATATGGTGAAGTTAATTGAACCTGTTTTCTATCGGGAGATATTCTACTCCACAGCTTGCCTGTGCACAGGTGGTCTGGGATACGCTTGTACGCTTTGTGATGTTTGATCACTGGCGAATGAAGCCTTTCGTACAGTTACAGATGGAAGTTAAAAGTATGTAAACTGTCTGAAAATGGTCACGCTAGGCTATTTTACATTGCAGTCAATATGCTATTGAAAATCCTTTGTTACTTTGGTTAAGATTCGATTGGCATTTCATTACAAACGTAATTAATTAGGATAAATACATTAGTTAACATTCTATTGTAAATCTCATATTTCTGTGCATTTTATTTATTTATTTATTTATTTATTTATTTATCGCTAATATTTTGTAGAAGCATGGTTAGGGTGTCTTTTAGGATGATTAGCTGTTATCAGTGATTCCTTTAATGCTGATGATATCTATCAAGACATTTTGTCCTCCAAACCACAAACGGCGGTACAATGCTTGTATATATACACGATTTACACAAAATTATGATGTCAGATCTACAAAAACTGCTCTACTTGATAGTTGCACTATAATGATAGACGATATCGTTAAACATAAGTGGCACAACTGGGACATTTGGAAAATATTTGGCCATGCTTAGTCTGATGATGATATTTAGCCTGATGACATTTGGTCTGATGATGATATTTAGCCTGATGATGATATTTAGCCTGATGATGATATTTAGCCTGATGATGATATACTGAACATCACTGAAGACGCTCCACCTGTAAATTTTGAAATATGGTAATAGGATTGTTTTGAGAGTGAAAATGAACGTTGGAAATGTTGTTAAAAACAGAAAAGACAATATAAGGCTGTACAGTAAAAACGGATTGCCCGAACACATCATGGAACACATCACATGACAACAACAAAATTCAGGCACAACACACACGAAAAGCACAAATTGCATGCGTAAAACACAGGGGTGTGTCACGCTTAGAAACAGCGTTAGAAAGACATTTAGGTACATAGACCCTACTCTAGTACTATATAAAAGGTACTAGGGTAGGGTCTATGTACCTATATATGTCTTTCTAACGCTGTTTCTAAGCGTGACACGCCCCTGTGGGTGGTACCGTAACACGTGCCTGGCCAGGACGGTGACGGTCCCTGGTGGTTCCTGTTTGTTGGTACCTGTTGGCAAGTCTTATGATGGTGGAATGATGGCAACCAAATCGTCTGGCAATAATCCTGCTTGATGTTGCAACCTGCAACCTACAACATGCCCAACGCCCGTTCTCGTTACTCTGGTGACAATCTTGGCATTGCAAAATAAACTTTACTTGCGGAGCTACAGCTAAAATGAGAACGGTTTTTTGCCGACGTTCATTTATACCCCTACTCAGCATGTTTTACGCATGCAATTTGTGCTTTTCGTGTGTGTTGTGCATGAATTTTGTTGTTGTCATGTGATGTGTTCCATGATGTGTTCGGGCAATCCGTTTTTACAGTACAGCATTATTTATTGTCTTTTGTGTTATTAACAACATTTCCAACGTTCATTTTCACTCTCAAAACAATCCTATTACCATATTTCAAAATTTACAGGTGGTGCGTTTTCAATGATGTTCAGTATATCATCATCAGGCCAAGCATGGTCTGATGATGATATTTGATCTGATGATGATGCTTGGCCTGATGATGATATTTGATCTGATGATGATATTTGATCTGATGATGATACTTGGCCTGATGATGATATTTGGTCCGATGATGATACTTGGTCTGATGATGATATTTGATCTAATGATGATATTTAGCCTGATGATGATATTTGGCCTGATGATGATATTTGATCTGATGATGATATTTGGCCTGATGATGATACTTGGTCTGATGAGGATACTTGGTCCGATAATGATATTTTTTCTGATGATGATATTTTTAGCCTGAAGATGACATATAGCCTGACGATTAGATTTGGTATTATGATGATATTTGATCTGATGATGATACTTGGCCTGGTGATGATACTTGGTCTAATGATGATACTTGGTCTGATGATGATATTTGGTCTGATGATGACATTTGGTCTGATGATGATGTTTGATCTGATGATGATATTTGGTCTGATGATGATACTTGGTCTGATGATGATACTTGGTGTGATGATGATATTTGATCTGATGATGATACTTGGTCTGATGATGATATTTGGTCTGATGATGATATTTGGTCTGATGATGATATTTGATCTGATGATGATGCTTGACCTGGTGATGATGTTTGATCTGATGATGATATTTGGTCTGATGATGATACTTGGTCTGATGATGATACTTCATCTGATGATCATATTTCGTCTGATGAGGATATTTGGCCTGATGATGATATTTGATCTGATGATGATACTTGGTCTGAAGATGATACTTGGTGTGATGATGATATTTGGTCTGATGATGATATTTGGTCTGATGATGATACTTGGTCTGAAGATGATATTTGATCTTATGATGATGATATCTGGCCTTATGATGATATTTGGCCTTATGATGATATTTGGTCTGATGATGATATTTGGTCTGATGATGATACTTGGTCTGATGATGATATTTGATCTTATGATGATGATATTTGGTCTGATGATGATATTTGATCTGATGATGATACTTGGTCTGATGATGATGTTTGATCTGATGATGATACTTGGTCTGATGGTGATATTTGATCTTATGATGATGATACTTGGTCTGATGATGATATTTGATCTTATGATGATGATACTTGGTCTGATGATGATATTTGATATGATGATGATACTTGGTCTGATGATGATGTTTGATCTGATGATGATACTTGGTCTGATGATGATATCTGGTCTGATGATGATACTTGGTCTGATGATGATATTTGGTCTGATGATGATACTTGGTCTGATGATGATGTTTGATCTGATGATGATACTTGGTCTGATGATGATGTTTGATCTGATGATGATACTTGGTCTGATGATGATATTTGGTCTGATGATGATATTTGGCCTGATGATGATACTTGACCTGATGATGTTACTTGACCTGATGATGATATTTGGCCTTATAATGATATTTAGCCTGATGATGATATTTGGCCTGATGATGATATTTAGCCCAATGATGATACTTGACCTGATGATGATATTTGGCCTTATGATGATATTTAGCCTGATGGTGATATTTGGCCTTATGATGATATTGGGCCTGATGATGATACTTGGCCTGATGTTGATGTTTGGTCTGATGATGATACTTGGTCTGATGATGATATTTAGCCTGATGATGATGCTTGGTCTGATGATGATATTTGATCTGATGATTGTACTTGGTCTGATGATGATATTTGATCTGATGATGATACTTGGTCTGATTATGATATTTGATCTGATGATGATACTTGGTCTGATGATGATGTTTGATCTGATGATGATGCTTGGTCTGATGATGATATTTGATCTGATGATTGTACTTGGTCTGATGATGATATTTGATCTGATGATGATACTTGGTCTGATGATGATATTTGATCTTATGATGATGATACTTGGTCTGATGAAGATATTTGATCTGATGATGATACTTGGTCTGATGATGATGTTAGATCTGATGATGATACTTGGTCTGATGATGATATTTGGTCTGATGATGATACTTGGTCTGATGATGATATCTGGCCTTATGATGATATTGGGCCTGATGATGTTATTTGGTCTTATGATGATATTTGGTCTGATGGTGATATTTAGCCTGATGATGATATTTTGCCTTATGATAATATTGGGCCTGATGATGATACTTGACCTGATGATGATATTTGGCCTTATGATGATAATATGGTCTGATGATGATATTTGATCTTATGATGATATTTAGCCTGATGATGATATTTGGTCTGATGATGATATTTGGTCTGATGATGATATTTGGTCTGATGATGATACTTGGTCTGATGATGATATCTGGCCTTATGATGATATTGGGCCTGATGATGATATTTGGTCTTATGATGATATTTGGTCTGATGGTGATATTTAGCCTGATGATGATATTTGGCCTTATGATAATATTGGGCCTGATGATGATACTTGACCTGATGATGATATTTGGCCTTATGATGATAATATGGTCTGATGATGATATTTGATCTTATGATGATATTTGGTCTGATGATGATATTTGGTCTGATGATGATATTTGGTCTGATGATGATATTTGGTCTGATGATGATATTTGATCTTATGATGATGATATTTGGTCTGATGATGATATTTGATCTGATGATGATGTTTAGCCTGATGATGATCTTTAGCCTGATGATGATGCTTGGTCTGA